TGAGCTAAGAAAATAGATTATTCAAACTATTCTAGTCAGGGTATTTTAATGCTACTTAATTCATTTTCATTATATAAACAGTATATAGAAAGCAGAAATTTGAGCCAACAAGATGGCTCAGTGGGTAAAGGCACTTCATTCCAAACTTGATGATCTGAGTTTAATTTCTGGGAACCATATGGTAGATGGAGAGAATCAATCCCCTCCTAGTTGTTCACAGACAGTCTACAGGTGCATTGCGGCATACACTTGAGTATACACGCATGCTTATTCAGATACACACATAAAATTTTAATTTTTTTAATTTTTAAAAAAGTTGGGGGGGGCTGGGAAGATAGCTCAGCAGTTAAGGGCACTGGCTCCTCACTGGCTGTTCTTGCAAAGGACCTGAGTTCGTTCCCAACACCCGCATGGTGGCTCACAACTCTCTGTAACTTCAGTTCCAGGGAATCTACTGGCCTCTAATGGCACCAAACATGCAAGTGGTACACAGACATACATGCAGTCAAACCACCCATGCATATAAACTAATAATAACATCTTTGTAAGCTTTTAAAAGTCACAAACAGAAACTCTAACCTCCATGTGCCACTCTAGGTTCATGAGCTGCTTTCTTTTCAGTGCCCCCCATCACAGTGCCAATGAAGAGCAACCACTCAGCTTCAGCTAACCGGCTGCTTTCCCTGCTTTCCCAACCACTCAGCTAACCGGCTGCTTTCCCAACCACTCAGCTAACCGGCTGCTTTCCTTTCACGCCGGCTTCCTATTTTTTGAACAGAGTTCTCAAGTTTAATCATTAAGTTAATTTTGAATTTTTAACTAATTTGATCTATTGAACTGCTAACTCGTTGGGTCACCATCCAATTAATTCTTATTATTTTTTTTCCTACTGGAAAATCATGGAACTAGAAAAACTTGGAATGTTATGAAGACAAAAAAACTTCATTTTAGAACATAAAGTATGAGAATTATGTATGTGAAGTTTTAAATTGTGGGTTTATTTTCTCGTTGTTCTCTACAAACCCACTGCCATCGCCCTATACCAGGTTTCTGATTCTGCATACCCTGACATGTTTGTCCATGTGGTTCTTGTATGGAGAATAGCTTCGCGTTAACAATGTCTCTGGCAGCAGTCCCAGCCTCAACGCTGCTGCCTGCCAAGGCACCCTCTTGGGTAGAACAGTCAGACATTTCAAAATCTCCTCCCAGCCACACAGTCCCCATGGGAGAACCATTGTCTGGTACCAAGACACAGCCACTTCTTGCATAGAGTCTACAGTTGCTTCCCAACAGGTCTATCTGGGGCCACCCAGAAACCACTTCTTCAAATTATAACCAAAGCAATCTTTCCAATGGGGATCCTGTCAGTCCTGCTTGAGGCAAGCTTCAGGCAGGCTTACATTATTTCTTACAATGAAATTCAAAATCTTTATAGTTGCCTTACAAAAATCTAGCTTCTACCTCTGGCTCCATCCTGTACCCCCACTTTCTGGTCACACCGTCTGTCTTCTGAGCTCCTCCAACACACTGCTCTCTTTCTAGCCACTTAACATTGCCCGAGTCTCTGCCAAGAACTTTCTTTCCCAGCTGGTACGGTCATCTGAGGACCTGCTGTCCAGGGAGGGGAAGAGGAAAAGGTCTCTCTATGTCTCCCTGGCTGGCCTGGAACTTGTTACGGAGATTGGCTAGGTTAGCCTCAGACTCTTCTCTCGCACCTCAATGCTGGATTACAGGCACATGAAGCTCTACCCAATGGCTACATCTGTCTTCTCAATGACAACACTATCTGGAGGCCCTGGACGAGAGCTATAACCTACAGGAGAAGCGGCATGTAGGTCACGATCATTCACAGCCACCAAGGAGAAACAAGCCAATGCAGACTTTCTTAATTTACACAGAACAAAATGAACTTGTGTGGAGTACAGCTTCATGGGTTTTAACACTCATAACCACTGCTGTCGTCAAAGACAATTCTAATATGCCAAGAAATATTCTCCTGTTGCCCCTTTGCAGGCAAAGTCTCCCTCCCAAGCCCATGAACCACAGCTCTGTTCTGTATCCTATCATTTTCTCTCTTCTTAATATCAATATTCCATCTCTTTCTTTACCAATAAAGCTATGCATGCACACAAGTGAGCTCTAACATATGAATAAGCATTTCCACATTCATATAGGTGTCATAGTCTTCACATTAAATGTTTTAACTTGGGGGCTTGGGAGTGTTTTTGTTGTTTTTTTTGAGACAGTATCTCCCCTATAAATCAGGCTGACCTACAACTTATTCTATAGCCCAGGCTGGCCTTTAACTTGTATTCAGCATCCTGGGTGATAGAATTACACGTGTAACACCACCATGTCTTTACTTTAAAATATTAACCTGTTTGATCCCAGCACTCAGGAAGCAGAGGGAGGAAAAACAAAAGTTAAAAGCAGCCTGGAGCCAGGTGTGGTGGTACACGCCTTTAATCCCAACACTGGAGAGGCAGAGGCAGGCAGAAACCTGAGTTCTAGACCAGGCTGGTCTACAGAGTAAGTTCCAGGACAGCCAGGGTTACAGATAGAAACCTGTCTCGAAAAACCAAAAATAAAAAATATTTTAAAAATTTAGCAAGTGAAGATGAATTCTGTCCACCTGCTAACGGGAGATCCAGAGCTTGTGGAAGAGGCTGTCAGCTGACTAGTGTCCAACTGCTGTAATTCTGCATCTTGAACTTGGGGTCTTCTCCAAAGGCTAGCTCCAGCTCAGTTTCTGCACACTATCTGACAGTCCAGAGATCTGGTTCATGCCTACATCTGTGCTCTAAAGTGTTCCTCCGCCTCTCCTTGTGATTGTCTGCCTTGCTTTACCACACCAGAACTGCTACACTACCAAGCACTACTTTTCCTTCAACAGTCTTTGCTACAGAACGTCCTAGATTATTCTAGCACTTCCCTACTTATGAGCATAGTTTTGTCATTGTGCAAAGATAATCCTAATCACATTGTCAAATCAGCTATGGGAGAGCCAAACATCATTTTCACTTAGTTGATCTAGTATTCATATGTGTGTAATGTTATGTGCATATGCATGTGTGAGGGGTGAATGTGCACCAGAGCACATATGAGTGTGGGAGTCATAGGTCCACATCATGTGTCTTCCTCTATTACTCTTGTCTTAACTAGTGTTCTACTGCTGTGAAGAGACATCATGGCCAAGGCAACTGTCATAAAGGAAAACATTTCATCGATGGTCTGATTACAGTTTCAGAGACTTAGTCTATTATCACCATGGCAGGAAGTGTGGCGGCATGCAGGCAGACATGGTGCTGGAGCAGTAGCTGAGAGCTCTACATCCTGATCCACAGGCAGCAGGCAGAGAGAGACTCTGGGGAGCTGTAGGCTTTTGAAACCTCAAAGCCCACCCCCAGTGACACACCTCCTTCAGCAAGATCATACCTCCTAATCTTTCCCAGCAATCCACCAACTGAGAACTAAACATCCAAGTGTGTGTGTGTATGTGTGTGTGTGTGTGTGTGTTTATGGGGGCCATTCTCATTAAAACCACAACAACTCTCAACACCTCCCAATTTTATTTATTTATTTATTTATTTGTTTGTTTGTTTGTTTATTTATTTTACGACATGGTCTTACTAGGTTGCCTTGGCTAACCTGGAACTCAGTAGGTAGATTAGGCTGGTCTTGAAATTTTAGAGATCCACCTGCCTCTGCCTCCTAAGTGTTGAGATTAAAGGCATGTACTACCATGCCCATCCAGTAATTTCATTTTTAGAAAAGCTCTTGAAGGAATGAGGACATAGCTCAGTGGTAGACTTCTTGATAGGTCTCTCTTTTCCCATCCGCAAGCACTGCTGACTCTGCCTATAATGGAAACAGCATCTGACCTTTTCCTACCACTGCTCCATCACCTACCTCCTCTCACCCTGCTCACCCTGCTG